TTAATACGTTTTTTTTTTTTCAGTTATATGAATGACATTTTATTTGGTTTTAGAAACAAGACATGAGAAAGATCAAATTTGGTTTCATCGAATTTAATCTTCTATTAGATTTTCAAAGTTTTAAAATGACATGTCTGCCTAAAATGACAATTAAAATTCAGTTTTGCAAGAAAAAAAAAGCATCATACTATAAAGGATAATATAGAGTCAGTAAAATAAAATAGCTGTCAGTTAAATAAAATAACATTTTATGTTTTCCTTTAGTCAGTGTTCAGAAAGTAGAATGAAACTAATATTTTTTAATAGAATTTTGTGTTAAAAAATATGAAGTACATTCAATGTCTTAAGTTTGACGTTCCTGTTTTGTAACATCTTTTTTTCCTCCTGCTCTAATGGACATAACTGTCCCCAACAATATTCATGAAAACCGGATTTTTATTTATACACATTTATGTGGCAGAAAACAATAACATTCTTGATGAACTAGAGGTTTGTTACTGAATTAACACCTAGACACTGTGATTCATCAATGATCGTTTATAAGAAGCTTCAGTTTAGATACTGAAGTGTTTAAATCAAGGCAGCAACACAAATATCATACATATTACTTATTTTTTACAATTTTATGGATTTATTTATGCTCGGGTGGGTGCACTCAAACTATAGGGATGATGTATATTGTAGGCCACAAGCTAACACAAGCTCAATACATTTTTAAGTTTTATTCTACCACATAAAATACTTTAGTCAAACCCCCTTGTGTGTGTGTGTGTGTGTGTGTGTGTGTGTGTTTTAAAGCTTTCCTTGTCTTGAAAAAGGCAGTTACTAACAAGTGGCTTGGCTAAATGGGACTAGATGTTGTCAGCGACGATAGACTTCATCACACCAAACAGGAAAACTCATCTACTCATTAGTCCACTTTCACAACCTCATGGATTAATAATTTACAGTAAGTCTGTGATGGGGTTAGAAAATAAATAGGGTTACGTTTCATGTCAAGCTGACTTTTAGGCTGTTTACTTGTGTTCAGTCCATAAGCGCTTACATGAAGTGTGGTAGCAACATGACTTTGTTGATTCAGTTGGGCCGGTTTGACTCTGGTCCATGGGGATACTGGCGAGGGTGTCTGCACAAAAACAGCCGCTATTCATCATCGGTACCACCTCCACTGCTGACCCACTTCTCTGTGTTTACAAAACCCCTTCTGAAGTGGACGTCTCTCTCGGTCATAAGACAACAACAGCTCACTGTTTGAACAAATCTACTCAATGAACATCACTGTGGTGTAGACAGGAGACAAGCATGTCGATCTGGGTAGAGTCTCACATGACAAGGTCAAAATGACAACATGGTCTCGGTGGAAAGTTCCTCAAAGGGGTCAAAACTGCTAATTTGTAGTGCTTTGGGTTAATTTTCTCACTGATTCATGCGGAGTTTGTTCATTCAGCTGTGTTTTCTTAGCTGTTCCTGAGTGAGGCAGCTCTCCTTCATGGTTGATGGGCGACTTCCAAAAATAGCACAAGTTCATAGGATGCATGAGAGAGTTGTAGAAAAGGTAGACTTGGTATTCCGCAATGCAGGCTTTGAGACAACTAAACGTTAATGAACTACTGAGAAAAGATGAGGTGAATGAGAGATGTCAGAAGAACCATCTGAGGGAAAGTAGATGTTTATAGACCTGTCGCATTGGAGTTTTCGGGATTATATGAATTTCCATTTAAGTAATGCAAAACATGTTTGTAGTAACACATACAATCGAAGCCTATACGAGGCAAGTCTACTTGAGGGAAGCAAAAATATGAAGCTTGTATTTTTGTCAAAGGGCTCATTTTAATTATTCTGTACAAAAAAAATTGCAATTTGAGCTGTAACATGGTAAAAATCATTTAAAAATAATTTAATGGTGGGAACTCCAAAAGCCTATGCACGGTTGTTATTCGTTGATTTTAGTTCGGCTTTTGATACATTTAAACCACTGTTTGATTAAAATCTGGGGCAGTTGGGTGTAAATCCCTTTTTTTTTATCAAATGGTATTATTTTTTACCTAATCGAAGGCAGCAGGTCAAGGTTAACCACAGTATATCAGAGGTTAGCAGGTGTTCCACAAGGCTGTGTTAGTTCCCCGATTCTTTTTACATTGTATACAAATGAATGCACAATGATTCAATGCACGATGAATGTCATGATTCCAGTAACCTCATAATAAAATACTCAGATGATACAGCTCTGCTAAGCCTTTTGTATAATGATTCTAACCCCTCAGTATATCATTCAGAGGTAGAAAGGTTTCTGAAGTGCTGTGACCTAAATCATCTTATTATAAATATAAAAAAAAATGAGGAAATGGTTTTTGACCAAAAGTCAATTGGGAAGCACTCACCTGTATTTACTCATAAGGAACCCATTAAACAGGTGTGCTAGTATAAATACCTGGGTGTTTATATGGATAATCTACTTACCTGGGGAACCCATGTAGATAGTATATGTTCTCTTGTGCAGCAGAGGTTACAATTTCTACAAAGACTGAGAGTTTATGGGGTTCAGCAGAAAGTAATGTATTTATTTTACCAAGCTGTAATTGGAAGTATAATACACTATGGTTATACTGTCTGGTTTGGTAACATCACAGGCCAATCTAAAGCCAAACTTGCATGTCTGGTAAAGATGGCTATGGGAATTATAGGGAAAAGGGAATATCAAACCTTGGAATCATCTTATGAACAGTCGGTTCTTAAGGAAATTATTACAGTTTTTCTGAATTGCTAAAACACGTTTCTTGAAACCATCACTCATTTTCTCAAAACCTTAAACACAAATCCAAATACTCAAACTAAATTCACGAAACCTCTTGACTCTTCCATCAAAATCAAACAATCACTGACAAGAGTCAATAAAATAAACACTACAGAGCATTCATCAGACACTACAGAGAAAAATGGAGAGCACTGCATCCAGAACATTACAGAAAAAAAGTATATTGTATTGAGTAAACAATTTTGCAATTCTGTAAAAAAGTATAGTAATTGCAACTGAGTAAGGTGAATATATTGTATAGGCCTACTGTATGTACTGTATCATCATTCAGTCACCTGTGCCACTTGTGCACTCGGAACTGGCTCATATGTTGTACAATTGGCTTGATCACTTCATTAGAAACAAGTGTGAACAATTTTGAATCGTTGTGTGTAAACGATGACAACTGTGCTTTAGTTGTGTTTAACTTTTGCTGCTTGTGTTTAGCATTTTGCAGCACAAATGCATCACAGTGTGACAAATGTTTAAGTGAATGAGAATATGTTTAGAGTTTTGCAAAAAGAGTGCATGAGATTTGCAAATAGAGCGTAACTGCCTGAACGTGTTTACGGTTTAGCAGAAAGAGTGCTTTATTAGACAAATTGGTTTAAGCTAGTGAGAATTTGGTTCAGAGATTGGGGTTTAGTGTTTTAGCAATTCAGAAAAACTGTAAGATATTATCCGATCCCTCACATAGCTTATATTCCGAATATGAGTTGCTGCCTTCTGGCAGACGATACAGGCTGCCTGTGTGCAGATACAATCGTATTAAGAAATCTTTTGTACCTACGTCGATTAGACATTTTAACATGTAATTTTAGATGTAAACTTTGTAGTTTTTTTATTTTTATTGTGGTTTGGAATGCTGGTTCGTCTATGTCTATGTGGGTTTTTATTATGTAATGTAATGCCGATCAGTGTGTGTATACTGGTCCATTGGGGACATTTAAGTGTATTGAACTGAATTGAATTTCGTTCGTCTATTTAAACTAAGCCCTAAAAGTACACTCTAAAAAATGCTGGGTTGTTTCAACCCAATGTTGGGTCAAATATGGACTAACCCAACTGTTGGGTTAAATTTTGGTTACATTTTTAAATTAACTTTTTAACCCAACAGTTGGGTTAGTCCATATATGACCCAACATTGGGTTGAAACAACCCAGCATTTTTTAGAGTGTATGTATTCTTTTTGTGAAGAAAAAGTAGATACTTTGGAGTGTGTAACAGAAGAGTAAGCAAGCTTTAGGACATACTACAAGGCCATGAAGTTGCGCTGTTGCATAGTTTCATGCACGCTGTCATCATAAACCAGCCAGTCAATCATCCTGTAACCGTTAACATCCTTATATACACTCCACAATCTGTTTATTTAAAATTACACTACACAAATTATTCTTCCTACTGTATTGGAGAGAATCTTGTTTGCATATTGTGCAAAAGTTACCATGTTTTCCGGCATCAATCAGTCATGACAAGAGCTAAAATCCTGAGTAAATGGTATTGTCAGACTCACACAGCCAAGAATAGAAAGCCATTTTATCACAGAATTATCATGTTAAAACATATAGGGCGAGGAGAGTATTTAAATAAATCACGCAACGTGATGTACTAAGATTTGATAGGATAAAAACATAAGTTCATTGGATACATAATATTATTCTTTAGTATAAACATTATTTTAATATCGTTTTCTTTTTTTTTTGTCCTTAGTTCTCCAGTATGAAGAGTATAAACATATGAACATCATTTACACAAAGGCAATTAACAGTGACAAATACTTGACACTGTAAGTACAACCGATGTTTGTGGTATCTTTTAGATAAAATTATTTATTACATATATGCTGCATCTGAAAACTTAGGCAGCTGACTTGCTGCTGTATGAGGCAATGACTTTGCAGGCAGCGTTTTTGCACGAAGGCACCTCATGATTTCGGACAGGCTTCTGAGGCAGCGTAACGGTTTAATGATCTACAACAAAATAGAACGAGTTTTTGTGATAACTAAACGAATATTTAATTACTATAATACTGAATTCTCGCTAGAAATAACATCAAAAGTGCAAAAAGTTCGTCAGAAATGTACATTTACACGCAAACGGTCCACCAAACGCAACTTTCAGACGCCATCTTTATTTTTTAGCTCAACCGTCACGGAATGGAACGCAGAGGATTGTGGGATATCAAAGGCAGCGAAGGATACATCTATGCTGCCTTCAAAAATCGATCAGAAGGAGGTACCTCCGGAGACAGGAAGTAAAGCAGAATTAAAATTCGGATGTGCCTTGCTGCATTCCTGCCTAGGAATGCTGCCTCCGAAGGCAGCATTTTAGAGTTTTCGGATGCAGCCATAGTATCAACAGTGTTATTAAGAACAGTTCCACAAGTAGTTGTGATTTGTGAAGGTCATCTGATACTGTCTGTGGACTCACGTTAGTGAACTGACTTGTCAAGCTGTTAATTACCACATAAACCATGTCAGGACAGTCTCTAGGGATGGGCACATAAAGACCAGGGATTGCTGTTAAACCGTAAACCATTTCCACACAAAGCAGTAGAGACTGCAGGCAAAACAAACATGTTAGAACCATTTTTGTTATAAAGGGATGGTTGACATGAATTAAATGTACCTACACAGAATAATACAGTTGCAATTGAAGTAAAAGCTCAGGGCGGAGATCTTGCTAAAAGTGTTCAGGTTAGTCCTGTGTGTTGGTGGATGTTGTTTACTGGTGCTGCTTATGAGAGAGCGCCTGCTGAAGTGTGATCTCCAGTCTCTGCTGAAGAGCATCCAGACACAAGTCCAGATGTTCCTTTAATCTTCTCTCCATCTCATCCATTCGCTTCTCTACAACCGTCTCCAGAATCTTCTCAAACCCTCCACAGCATATATGACCCTCCCTGTAATACAAAAAAAAAAGATATATATATACTGTATATATATGATGAGTGGACAAACTAAAGGACACATTAAATACATTGGAATAAAATCTTAAGAATGATCAAACTGTTCTGCTTTGTGAAACTAATTCAGTAACACTTGAAATGCCTTTTTTGTGAACTGTATATTGCATTATTCTAAAAGTTTTGATGATATTTAGTGTTCACTGTTCATTGTTCATCAACCCCTCTTAAATATGATTAGGAGCAGATATAAGGGGAATGTTTGAGAGTGGACAGATCATGAAGAAGTGTATTCACACAGTATACTGAACCTAGTACTGGAATATGGTATAATTTTTTCACTTTAGCATTTACTTCACTACATTCCAAAGCATAATATCATACTTTTTACTGCATGACATTTCATAAAAACATCGTTCCTTGTAATTTCAAGGAATAATTATTGATATTTTTGAAGAAACTCAACTCCTGCTCTGAGATGCAATGGCAATGTCTGATTTCCAGCCCATTCTTTTTGATGAATCTGTTGTTGTGTATCGGTTCACAAAGCGTCTAAATGATTCATTTGTGAATTGGACTGATCTGATTGCAGCTGTTCTCAAGTCAACAACTGACTCATTCAATGATTCAGAGCAAATCTCCAGTTATCAAATCACTGAATTGTTCATGTCTAACTCAAGCTGTGCAAAGAACCAATAAATCCTCAGAGTGTGAGTGTGTCTGTGTGATTTATGGCACAAAAAGTTACTAATGCAGAATTTTAGTTTATTGATTATTGAATTGAATATTTAAGTCATGACTGTTAGTTGACAACATTTGCTGTAAAAGGACGAGCTGTTTAAGCCCACTGAAATGATTTGTGTACTTTTACTCAGGTACTTGATTTATGTACTTCTGTTTAGAATTCAAGTGTTGCAATGATCCCAGTAGGGCTGGGCGATATAGCTAAAAAAAAATTATCAACGATATAATGTTTCATATGGTTCGGTATCGATAATTATTACATCTCTTGTGTGAGACGCGAGTGCAGTAGTCGTATTTGTCCGTCTAAAAAATGCGCTGAATATGCGTTCTGTGTGAATGGCTTGGTTTCGGTTTTAACCTAATCAAGATCTTCTCCGCATTGAGCTTCTATATTTCTGCGCGTAATGCAGCAACTGCGCATCTCGTGGGCTAGACTAACAAAACATGCAAATGCGACAACGTCACTTACATCGTTATCACCGCATCTCGTGCTCCACTGATGACACTCCCTGACGCACTCCTAACATTTGATTGTACTATTTTTGCTTTCAAATGCAAATGTTTATTTTAAATTCGACTAATATTCATTTTTTTATTCACAATCCCCTCATCACAGGCAGTCACAGCACTCAATTCAGCATGTGTTCATGTTTGTGTGTGCTGTCTGCGTCACTCAGAGCACGTGCCTATATCGTGCACTATATCGAACATTTTTTTTATATCGTTATCGAAGAAGGTGTACCGTCTATAAATATCGATACCGTTTTATCGCCCAGGCCTAGATCCCAGTCTCATTTAGTTGTTAAATAAAAAATGTTGGTTTATTACGTTGAATAAATACTAATTCATGTGGCTTAACGAATAAACTTTTATCTTAACTAGTTACTACTAAAGAAACCAAAACTGTATGACTTTCTCCTGTTTGAAAGTTCAAGTTTGAATTGTCCAGAATGCTCTTTTTTAATTAAATTGTATATCATATAATTGTAGAACTGTTCACTGATCATTTTCCCATACACCAAAACCATGTTTACCACCAGTGACGTCAAATGTCACTGGTTCTAGATCTCTAATGTCAAATATGATGGGCCACACATCTCATCATACTATATCTGAACTGAAAGAGACTGCAGAGCTTCATTGGCGTAAAAGGTTTTCAGTGAAAAAGGACTTTTGGTCCGTTCATCATACAAATCTATCATACAGCTTCATAAACTTGGAATATAGTGCACAAGTCATGGATTTTCACGGTATAAAACAGAGCACTCTGTATTCTGTTAGACAACTTCTTTTGTGTTCCCCGGAAGAAATACACTAATACAGACTCAAAAAGTCTTTAGGGAATATTTAAATTTTGCATGTAACTAATGCTTTATCCTCATGCGTTTATCAGTATTATTATTCCTATTCATAATATTCACACTTTCATCAAGATGAGCTGGTTACCAAAACCAAACTTTTGAGTGGCTTCAACCACCGTGGTAACTGAACGTCTGTTTACTGAACACCACACATGACTCACACTTACCGTTCTCCATTCTTCTTCCTCTCTGGAGATGTGGCTTCCTCCAGTCGGAGCTGCGTGACCTGACCGCATACGCTCTGCAGCATTGGAAGCAGGTCTGGGTTGATCGTGCCTGTGTCAGTGCTCAGCAGGGCAGACATGGCACCGGGTATCTGGTTATGATTGCTGCTAGGCAGAAGCTGCCCGAGGCCAGATGGTGGATTTGGGCCTGACTCCACTCCAGCAGAACTGGAAGCCCCACCTCCTCTTGACAGACAGCTCAAAGCTCCTCCTCCCTTGAGCAGAGGAATGAATCCATTGAACACGTCTGATTTATTCTGGACACAACACACACAAAGAATGATTGTTCAGTTGTGATGAAGCTTTGTGCTGGCTATTTTTTTTTTTTTTTTTTTAAAGAAACAACTGTCCAAAAAAACTTGCTTGAGAATGATTGTTTAAAAACAGAAAAAAAGTGAGAAAATGAAAATAAAATATTATGCTGTTAAAATACTAAAACTATAGGTTATAACAGAAAATATGTGAATCATAATTAATTTTACACATCAAATTACAAAGAATATTTTCCTTTATTATACTTATATAACACTACTGGTCAAAGGTTTGGAATAATTGGAATAAGACTTTTAATATTTTTGAAAGGAATGCTCACAAAGGCTGCATTTAATTGATACAGTAAAAACTAATAAATATAAAAAATGTTAAGATTGTATTATATTTAAAAAATGTAATTTATTTCTATTATGGCAAAGCTGAATTTTCTCCAGGCATTACTCCAGTCTTCAGTGTCTAATATATGCTGATTTGGTGCTCAAAAAACATTTCTTAATATATTATCAATGTTGAACACAGTTTTTGCTGCTTAATATTTTTGAGGAAACCGTGATACGCTACCATTTAAAAGTTCGGGGGTAAGTAGATTAATAAAAAATAAATGATTAATTAATTCTTTTATTAAGCAAGGATTCTATATCTAAAATATATATAATCAAATAAATGCTGAACTTTCTATTCATAAAAAAAAAAATGTATCATGGTTTCCACAACACTATAAAGCAGTAAAAACTGTTTTGTCTGCTTAAAATTCAGCTTTGCCATCACAAGAATAAATTACATTTTACAACATATTAAAAAATTGTAATAATATTTCACAGTATTATTGTTTTTACTGTATTTGTCATCAAACAAGTGCTGCATTGGTGAGCATAAGAGATCTCTTTGAAAAAAACATTAAACAAAATCTTAATCTAAACATAACCGATAATGTATAGTGGTAACATATGATGAAGACATGGGCCACGGTTGAAGGCATCCATGTGTCCATATTTTATAAAGGTAATATGGAATACGGTATCATTTTCCAGTAACATAACTTTTACTTCACAACATTCCAAAGCATAATATAATAATATACTTTTTACTCTACGACATTTTATAAAAAAAGATATTGAATGTTCAAACACACAAAAACTGGTAACTAATGCATTTTAAAAAAGCCCTGATATATGAGACACATGAGAAAGCCCCCAAATTTCACATAGCTGAAGCTTTTCTATAAGGAAGAGTGGGCAAAAATGTCTACAAAAAAATGACACTGACAGACTGTTACAAGAAACGCCTACAAGAAATGATGTCTACCAAAAGAGCAAAAACTGCTGAACAGCAGAATCTACTAGAATTATACAAAAATGGGAGTGGGATTGAAACTTGCCCATGCAAAAAATCACCACCACAATGCTTGTGTATGCTAAGGTGTTCTGGGTGATTGTTAGTGTGTTGTGTTGCTATGCGGTTGCTACTGGCTGCTTACAGACACAAGAGATTCTACACTGGAAATTTGTGCAGAGTTTATAATATCAACCATTTTTTAAAAGACCAGAGCAGTGGTAATTCTGCTATAATAAGACCTTTTGCTGGCACTGCACCAGCTCCATGAGGTTCTGTGCTCCTGGTGAAAGGTTGGTGCCCATCTCATCCATCATAATCTGCACACGCTGAAGGTCTATGCCTGGGTCTACACTCGGCCCACCTTGTCTGTCCTTGGGCGTCTCCAGTACCACACCCACATGGGCGATAGCCACAGACGAGCGGCCACCGAGAGAGAGCAGCTGTGCGGAGACACCACATCGATGCTGAGCCAACAGAGATCAGTTTGTGTGTTTGTGATGAGAGCCTGGATATTATTTCCAGCTTCCCTTAACTTACCTTTACCTCACAGGATGCAACAGGGTTTTAAAGCAACAGATGATTCTTGTAGAAATGCCTCTTATCTCCAGAACTGAAAAAAAATAAAAGAATCAGCATTAGTCCCCATAGTCTATAATATTGTAAAATAACAAATATTTCACTTATCCAACACTATATTGAGCTGAATCTATAAACAGACCAATATATTTCTTAAACAAAAATGAATAATAATAATCTGTTGTTTACTTAATAATAAGTTTGAATTTCTATATTGCCTTTTCAAAGCTAATTCATTCACAAACTAATTAATGCATAATCATATTACAGAAAAATGTCAAAATGTTTATATTGGTTTGATCAGCAATTATTAATTTAATTTGAATGACATTAACAAACTTTTGTTTTTGTTTGAATGGGATTAACGCTTTTTAATAATAATAATAATAATAAACATATTTTTTTACCTAAACAGGTAAAGTTTAGGATAAGAAACAGAACCGATATAGACATTAAAATGATGAAGAGCAAGGACAAGAGCTAGTGTAAGTGTAAAATACCCATCAGTGTGTGACAAGTCACCTGATACTTTATATTCATTTTTTCCCCCTTATGACAAAAAAATACTTTTATGTTAAAGGGGTCATATGATGCGATTTCAAGTTTTCCTTTCTCTTTGGAGTGTTACAAGCTGATTGTGCATAGATAAGATCCCTGAAGTTGCAAAGACTAAAGTCTCAAAACCAAAGAGATATTCTTTATCAAAGTTAAGACTCTGCCACGCCCCCCTAAAACGGCTCGTTCTAACATGCCCCCACATATCTACCTCACTATGTGGAAATATTAGCATAATGCACCCAAATGTGCATGCAAAGAAAGAAGGCGTGGTTTCAGTAACCGCAGTTAGTGTTGAAGCAGCCATGTCAGGGATTAAGAATCACAAACGGCTGCATTCGAGTCTTCAAGGCATTTTAGGACACAACATCGTCAAGTAAGTAACTAACGAATGTTACAGTATTCACTGTGGTTATCCGCTAGTAAAAACAGTTTTATCAGTCATTATCCATATATGCCATTGTTTTGCGTTTACTACAGTTCAGTGGATCAGGAGGCGCTGGCTGGTGTGACTGAGTGGAGGCGGGTCTAATTTGCATATTCATAGATCAGCATATAGTAAATGAGGCAAGGGTGTTGAGTTACATTCAAGCTATTTTAAGGCATGAGAACATTATTTTCACAAGAAAAAACATTTAAATATGTCATTTTGATGATCAAAGATAAGTTTTAAGGGATAAAATATTTGACTACAGGGGGACTTTAAAGGCGGCTTAATTACGATATTTTTTATTATTTGATTGTGACATTTTATGAATCAATAACATATTAAAGGAATAGTTCATAAGTATTTTAAAATAACTTTAGCTTTCTAGCCACCAGCAGGCACTGAAATGGTTCAAACCTGCAGTCATCGTTTGGACTGTTGTCTTGTGTTGCTGTGAGAACATCAGACAGCTGTTTCTGTGATGAGCAGTGTTGGGGAAAGTTACATGAATTAATGCATATTCATATTTATTTTAGAACTACAGTAACATCTTCTGATTTCTCTCAACATGGCGACAGGAGAGGTCAATCAATAAATTGGAAAAAAAGTAACTTGCGTTACTTAGTTGAAAAGGTAACTCAGATATTCTCTTGTAAATTAAAAAGTAATGCGTTACTTTACTAGTTACTTGAAAAAAGTAATCTGATTACGTAACTCGCGTTACCCCCAACACTGCCATGAGCTGCGTGCAGAGATCGCACCATCTTCGCTCGAGGACATCCTGGTAGAGGATTTTTACTGCCAGCCAAAAAGCATTCACACATCATCCGCAATGTGCGCTGAATTAAACCGTTTGTTCCAACACAGTCAGGGTCAGTTACATTATACACTGTACACTAAAATCTAACCATTTCAGTTATGTCGCTCCATAAATGTACTGTGTGAGAGGTTAAAATACATATTAGCTGTGATGCTCAAAACAAACACACTCCATTCGCGCACTGTTATCCCTAGTATATATATATATATATATATATATATATATAGTCCCTCCAGTAGGTTCAGGTAACAATAAAATACTTTGATCATAGGACAAGTCTCACTGTCTCTGAAGCTTATATTATGAGTAGAGAGAGATTCTGCATCTAGCAACACATTTAGGTGTACTTTTTTTGTCCAGACCACAGTAAAACTGGTAAGATTATTAGAAAAAAAAAAATTAATGTAACAGAAAATTAACACATTTTTTGTTGTAAGAGGTATACCTATATGTGGATGTGGATATATATGTTTGTGACTCTGTTTTACCATGTTAAAATACAATAATAAGAAGAATAATAACAATAAAGATTAGAAAGATACATTTATTCCTGACATAGCCTACAACGTGAATGATTTTCATGCGGCCTCCGAGCGCCCTCTGGAGGAATAAACAGTTCGTGTCTTTGTGAATATACCATCAGGTGCAACATTTAAAAAAAAAATAAATAAATACAATACAGTACCTTTTCTCACTAGACCTAATTAGGCCAAGGTAATTTTAATTAATGAGTTTAGAGGCTTTGTGTTAAGATACGCCTAATCTTCATAGACTGATTTCAACTTTTTGAGCAACTTAACAGGTTACTTAATATTCATGATAACTTAAAGATACTATAGGCCACATGTAGGCCTACAATTTATACATTTATTTATTCATCCATTCATTTATTTATTCGTTTATTTTATTTCGCACTAATATTGACATACTTTATGAACTGCTTATGGAGTAAATCAGCAAATACGTTTATCAATACCGCCTCTTTATCTATAAATCTCAAATCTATAAATAGCTGTGAATGAAGAGTCATGCGGGCCAGACAGAGAATGTCGCTCCACCTGTCTGACTGTTCGAGCACGCCCCTCGCTCGCGCTCCGCTCACCTGAGATCAAGCGTCATTCCGGAGAAACATCATGACGCGACACTTTTACTTCTTCATTCTCATTATCCCAAACTTCGCGATTTTCCCAGGTAAGACAAATCCACTCATTTATGCTTGATGTTTTCCTACTCATGACTTCATTTACACACAGTGGAGGAAGACATACAAGGAATCGTCGTGTTTCACCGACAACAAACTACAAGAGTACTGAAAACGTCTCTATTTGATTGTATCAGTTCAGGGGAAATACCTTTTTATTAATAGATAGTTTTAAACTTAATCTAAGTAGGTTAAATTAGATTAATATTAGATAAAATATTAGAGTTTTGGTCTTAAAAACAGCTCTGTATATATCGTTTATTATCAAAACAGTGTAGTCCAATACACGAAATCACAAAAACGGTATATAAACATAGATAAACGTAGATATCTAGATATGTATATAGATATATACATATCTAGATATGTATATAGATATGTAGATATCTATATACATATCTAGATATAGAAGATACATATACTTGATTTGAACAAAACTCATTCCTGCAAATGATCAAACTCCTATATATAATTAGTTATTCAAACATTATTTCAGTTGTATTTAATTGCTTCTTTTGGTATGCATTCATAGTCCAGAGCACAGACCAGACTTCACATTTGAAGAAGTATGATGTGGTCAAACCTCAGCTGGTTCATGAGCGCTGGAGGAGGCATGCAGACCCCTCACACACACCTGCACAGGTATAAAGCATGATCAACAGTTCTGGAAGTAAGTTAAGATGTTGATTTCTCCATATTTGAAAATGATGTGTCTGATTTCAGGATAGACATGCTGATAGCATTACATACTCGGTCAGGATTGACGGTCATGAACGTGTACTGCATCTGACAAAGAACACGTAAGAACTTTAGAAGGAGTTTGGCTGGAAGAATCAGTCTTGTTTAATGATTAAAAAAATCTAATTTGATTTCGTATTCTCCCAGACATTTTTTACCGAAGAACTTTGTTGTGTTGTCTCATGATGTACTGGAGAAAGGAAAAGCACACACAGAAACACTGGTGAGATTTTTTTTCCTGATTTGTTAGTTATAAAATGTAAAAGAGGTACTGTCCACCACATACTTCACATGTTTTGGAATGAGGAAATGGTATGTTAAATACTTTATATTCAGTGGACAATGATCTTCTAGCCTTAAAAACAGTTAGTCATGTGGTATTTTTTATGAAAACCATTAACCAACACATTAACCTTTACATATTTTTGGAAAACAAGCTGTACTAAAGCTGGTGGTTTTGTTTAGGAAAACTGTCACTATCAAGGACATGTGGAGGGTTATGAAGACTCTCTCGTAGCTCTCAGCACCTGTGAAGGTCTCAGGTAAGCATGATACTTACACTTTCAGTGCCTAAAATGCAGTCTTTCTTGTTAGTTGGGTGCCATGTCATTTTTTAACTGAATTAATGAAAGTTATTACAGCAACGCAACTGTATTAAAATTTATCATCTTGCTTTTCTTCTCCACAATTTTCACATTTGCAAATTAAATGCAAATACCTGCATATTAGGAAGTATTTTTGAGCATCCCAAAAATTATTCTGCTTTAACTTGCAGGCTCAATTGAAATGTATTTTATTTTGTATATAATTGCTGTTGGTCTTTCCTATTAAATTTATTTGCATACTGAATGGTGATTGGTCTGTTTTTTTGATACATCTAGCTTAGGGATGCACCGATGTATCGGCCACCGATATTTATCGGCCGATTTTTCCTCAATTTACAACCATCGGCATATCAGCTATAGAAGGAAAAAGGCCGATATAACAAACTGATGGTTTATTAATTAACTGCGTGAAGGCACTGAGCTGTATAATGTCTGTTGCATAATCCTAGCACTTTAATGCTAATCAAATAACAAAAGACGGCACACTATTCTTGACTAAATAACTTTTGTAACCTTCATAAGTGTAGCGGACCTCATCTGAATGATGACCCAAATTTTACTGATGTTTCATTAAGTTTATTGGGTCCTTTTTCACTCCAAAAAAATCACCATAAGAGCTAAACAAAACACAGCACATACAGCGAATTACACAAAACACTTATTACAACTAACAGTAAACAAATATATACAGATCTCATGCCTTTTTGGGGGGTGCTTAATAAACTGACAAACTTTAAATCCGAAGAATTGCGTGTTTTTGTTACCCATATAGCTGCTCCGTAGACTAGAAAACCCATCAAAATAAGAGTCCAGCCTTGGTAATGGAGATCTCATACATATTTAAACTTACAAAAAATATTAAAATGTATACAAAAACAAATAAGAAGATTAATCCTAATAAAGTATGTTACAATAATGTATACAGTGAAGTGTTATTTTACATTTGTTTACTTTATTTCTGTACCTGAAAATGTAAACCTACCTAAAAAGCACTGTTTATTTAATATGTATCTTTGTTCTGTTGTATTTATGTAGGCCTGCTGAATGTTAAATGGATCAAATCCATGTTCATTAGAAATTATTTGATGATGCAGCAATAAAACTGCTAGTATAATTTAATGCAGATGTTTTTGACCTTTGCTGATTTAAAACATGATCAAAATACTATCTATTTTGATGCCAAAATTTCAAATAAGAGAGGAAGTGACAAATATCGGTATCGGAATCGGCCAATAAGTGATTGTTAAAATCGGTATCGGGCCCAAAAAATCATATCGGTGCATCCCTAATCTAACTGTCTCTAAAATGCAAACAGATCATTGTGTTTTGTGTTGTTTCTTGTGTATAACCTAAATCCTAAGCTTTCCTAAAACATTAACACTAGTCTTTATTTTGCTGGGTAAACGCTGATATTTCTTTTTAGAAGTTAGTTAGAAATGTGAAAGACAGCTTGCACCTAAACTGTTAAGTATTAACCCTTTTGTTTTGTTAAAAGTGACTGTACTGTACTTAATATATGTTTGTTCAATGTTGTATGATAAGAAATAATCAGAATTGAACTTGACATTTTCCCTTTAATTTATTTTAATGTTCATCTGACCTATTAAGAAAAATGTGTTCCTGTGTGTAGATATAAAAATTCAATAAAACAATCTAAATAAATAACTGACAGAAGTTGTACTTCAACAGTGTGTAAACCAGTCGGAACATTTTAGTTTGTGAAAAATCGGTGAAAATGTTCACATTTTTTAACATAAATACTGGTAATGCAATGGAGGATGTGTAAAGGATGATAGGTCAAATGATAGGATGATAGTGATATAGTCAAAAAATAAGTAAATGTGAATAATGTAAGTATAACAAGAGATATATGCAATTTTAAAGTCAAAACAACAGTGTTTTCACTGCACAGTGTAAATAGTGGCTACATACTGTTTGTACTAAAGGGACTGTCACTTTTCATTCCATTGACTTCCATTTATGCGCATGCTATTACGAGAGACCGGAAATGCAAGCTCATGCAAATTTCACTGCATGCCAAAGTTTAATGTTGGTGAACTCCGTAAAAACATATTCAGTGTATATGATATTCAGTGTATATGATTTCTAAAAATCATTAAAGGATGCTTCCTAATTGGGACCTTAAATATTCATATCCCTAATGGGATCAGAAAAAAAACCTGCACGGTCACATTTGCGAAATGTTCGGTGAGATTTCACGGGCAAAAAAGGCACTTCGCCAGTAGTATAGCGACGTATGAAGCACATCTCACACAGAAGTCAGTTTCAGCTGCTTTCTGTTGTTGAATGCAGCAAATTTGTATGACCAACTCAAACACTTAACGAAATCTGCGTGGGGTATTTTTTCGCCCTCCCGTGAAAAATTCATGTTGAAATGACTGAATTTCAGCCGCAAAATTCTGGCAATGAAACGGTACACATACTGCGCTTTTATTCTCCATGCTGCTGCTCCTGTTACCAGACAGTTTGTAATTGTCTTGCTCAACCAGATAATGGTTGGCTGAGCCTTTGTCAACAAGATGGGTTATTTGCACTTAATGTAAATAGACACTCCTTTAAATATATCACTTTTCATAAGAGTAGCAAAGTTACAATATTTTTATTGTGTTTTGGGTCTTGGGGTCTCTCAGATATCAGGTTGTAACTTGGTGTGCCATTGTACACTGTGTTTCAGGGGGATCATTCTCATTGATAATAATAGCTATGGCCTGGAACCCATCTTGCACTCCAAAGCCAATGAGCACCTCCTCTTCCTGTTGAAGGACAGTCAGACAGAGCCATTTGTATGTGGACTGGCCAATGAAACGTCTTCCAGCGAGGACCACTCCCATTCCGCTGACATGTCCATGTTTTTACGGGTTGGAAAATATGTCTTGTTGTCTTATCAACACTGTTATGTTGCAAAAACACACTCGACGTTTCATTTAATCTACTGAATCCGCAGAAAAAACGAAACTTACCTCAGACCAAATATGTGGAGTTGGTGTTAGTAGTGGACAACCTAAGGGTGAGTTTTTTAGCCATTAGAAGTCTGTGTGTTTGGAATAGTTTTTTTCATTGTGTAGTTCTGAAAGGTGTGTTTATTTGTTTCTCAGTTCGTCTTTAAAAACCACGATATAACTGCCGTGCGTAATGAGATGGTCCAGTTGGCTAACTTGCTGGATACGGTAAGAATTATAGCTACAGATCAGGTTATTGTTAAGATAAGCCCAACCCTAACCTCAGTCAATAATGTGTTAAGTCCGTTGTAATGTATGTCAGGGTAGTTCTTATCGTGACTGATGTTTATAGGGTGATGTAATTAAATAGTTGAGGCTGTTTTTGTGTTCACCCCAGTACTACAAACAGCTGAATATCCGGATAGCACTGATTGGCGTGAGGATTTTTGACAAGGAGAACCCCTTCAGTGTGGAAGGCAATCCTGGGGAAGTGTTGGGCAATTTTGTGCAGTGGAGAAAGACAGATCTGTTACCTCAACTTAGGCATGACGTGGGGCAGCTTATTGTGTAAGTACTCCATCACATGTTTTTTTGTTGTTGTTGTTAAATAGTTCAATCAAATATTTGTTCACACTTGAGAAATTAATGTTTCCTGAAGCCATTAGTCAACTTAAAAGAAATCCCTCTTCAAACTCACACCATTGGTTGGGCCAGTGCGGTCATGTCCAGCCCAGTTATGCTGCTCGTGCTATTTTGTCATTTAGGGCCAGATTTACTAATAGCTGGCACCAGCACAAACCCTCTTTTGGCGTTAAAAAACTACTGTCAGGATCAGACACACAGTGAAAAATTAGCAACGAAAAGGTGTGGACACCTTTTATTTTTGCACCTGACCTTATTATATATGTATGCATTTGTAGAAATTTCCCATTCAGATGCAAAATTTCCCCTTTGTGAATCCCTGATTGTTGTAAACTAACCAATACTTGAATCCAGCAGCTCAACTTTTGGGCCTGCCTTAATTCTCACACTTGTCTCCTTGGCTACTTGAGAGTATTTACGCGGCAAGAAGTAAGTGTCCAAGACTGTCCCAGGCTTGGAAAATCCCAAGAATATGCGTACATCCCTATTATAAAACACACATGTACCTCCCTACTATAAAACGGTAAATGAAAACCATGTCTGGATTCATAGTATTCATAAAACAGCAGGCAAAATGTACCCAAATGATCTATTACTTCCAGTGAGGTACTGCATTGTGCATTCAAATGACGCTTACTATCCCATGAGGCCACAGGAGAGCTGGTAGATGATGCTGGTAGATTGCATAACAATGCCAACATGATGAATGTTGTATGTCCGGATTACATTCATACTACACACAATATAATAATAGAACATAAATTTTTTGCCTTGCAAAGGAAGTACTTCAAGTAGTTATTTCAGTTAGTGCTCAAGTAGTTGAAGCTCCTACTCAGAGAATGTGATTTTGGATGCAAATTCTAGAACCATTTAGGGGAATGTTCTTTTTTTAGATGAATATAAAATTAATATAAACTCTTAAGGGCCGCTTACACCAAAGACACTTACTATGACGATAGCTATATCGGCGTCCACACCAACAATGATAACATTCTGTTTATTATAAGTTTGTGTTGCAGTTAAATCATTTGCCACTTTAAATGCACAAGCTCTTTAAAGTCAGGTGCATTCTGATTGGCTGTCAATGTTTTATTGTTAAAAAAATTTTCTGAAAATATTCCAAAGTGCCATTATTGTTATAGTTTTGGGTGCTGTTCCTTTAAAATTAGAATAATTTTCTTTATCTTTTTCTTATCGGGGAAGTCGTGGTCTAATGGTTAGAGAGTCGGACTCGTAACCCAAAGGTTGCGGGTTTGAGTCTCGTACCGGCAGGGATTGTAGGTGTGGGGAGTGAATGTACAGCGCTCTCTCCCACCTGAGTATATATATACCATATATATATAATACCACGACTGAGGTGCCCTTGAGCAAGGCACCGAACCCCCAACTGCTCCCAGGGTGCCGCAGCATAAATGGCTGCCCACTGCTCCGGGTGTGTGTTCACGGTGTGTGTGTGTTCACTGCTGTGTGTGTGCACTAAGGATGGGTTAAATGCAGAGCACTAATATGGGTAGTATGGGTAACCATACTTGGCCACATGTCACGTCACTTTATCACTATATAAAGATATTTAGATCTTTATCTTCATAGTTCTCTTCTTGATGTGAACGGGCCTTTAGCAAAAATCCTCACATACCGAAATCTCCAAATTACATTTACAGTTTGAGAATGTAGTCTCTACTATTTAATTTATTTTGTGTTGGTTCTCAGAGATGACGCCAGATGTCATCGATATCAGACCTGTGTATGTTCTGAGTAACATGATCTGTGTCTCTGTTTCTTAAAGAGGCCGATCAGCATCGTACACTGGAGGTGTGCTCGGCATGGCCTTCGTAGGGGCTGTGTGCTCTGTGAACAACGGTGGAGGAATCAATGTGGTTAGAACATTTTTATAAATCATCAATAAAACTTGACTATATTAGAATGCTCTTAAGTATTCTGAAGTCTTCAGGGCTGATTGTTTTCTGAAGGCTGTAATCTAAAACCTGCATGTTTTATTGATGGAAAGGTGTGTTCGTGAACTGGCTGCCTGAAGGAAGCAACAATGAATTAAAATGTGACCAAAGCAAACCTATATTTATTTATTTTAATTGTTTTAATTGTCTGTGCTTTCATATACCTGCTGCAAATACATTTCGATGCGTATAATAGATGCAGGAAATGAACTCTAATGCCATGTTCTCCTTTGCTTTTCACTGTTATATCATCACAGTTTAGCAACAACAATCTGCAGTCATTCTCTACGGTGATTGCTCACGAGCTGGGCCATAACCTGGGCATGAGTCATGACATCACTGGTTGTAAGTGTGATGGGAGCTGCATCATGGCACCCACTGCCGGGTTAGTGGCTGCTGTTGTTTCATAATATTCCTCATTAGTGCAATCATTGTGAACATAATCTAAAACATAAAAACATAATTTAACATGGACAAAAAGGAAATTCTGTCAAATGAAAGTTGTTAAACCGCAACATTTGTTAAAAGGCATTATAAATAAAATACTAATGGCCATCATTAATATGCAAAATAGTTTTATGATTGAATTTTGCAATTACACATTTTACTTTTAATTGTTTTGATGTTGTTTTCCCAAATAATAACAATATAAGAAATAACATAATATTTTTAATACATCTTAAATAATTTAATATAGAAAATAATGTGAATATATTTAATATAATATATCATAATACATAATTTAATGTAAAATAATTACATATAATAATATAAAGAAAATAACTGTGTTCAAATAAATGACTTAAAATGCAAATCATGTAAAGAAACTTTTGATGTGATCGTGATAACTCGACATGAAATATAATTTGTTTGAGACTTACTAGTTACACATTTCTGTGTCTTATTGTGCACAATTCATCCGTGGTCATTATTAAAAATATTTTTTGCCTTTGTAATCTCTCATCAAAATTTGGGTAACACTTTGGTTTAGGTACCAAATCTTACTATTAACTAGTTGCTTATTAGCATGCATATTTATAGCATTTTGGCGGTTTATTAGTACTTAAAAGCACATATTAATGCCTTATTTTGCATGGCTGTATTTTAGATCCCTTAATCCTACCCCATGCCTAAAGTTAACAACTACCTTACTATTAATACGCAGCAAATTAGGAGTGTATTGAGGCAAAAGTCATTGTAATAGTAAGAATTTGTCCCCAAACTGTGACCAAAATTTGTTTTTGAACAACAATCCTTTCCAGCTGACCTCAATTCCTCAAGTCTCTTGTTACTGCTGTTTGGTTGAATATCCTGTTAGAATTACATCTGATAATGAAAGTAAAATGGGTGTAGAGCATTTCATGTTGACCTCAATCAGAATAAAAAAAACAGGAGGCTTGTACAAAACCTTTCCTGCTGTCCTTGACGTGTGTGATGTTGTGTTTGGGTGTGAACACAGAGGAGCGACTAAATTCAGTGGCTGCAGTGAGAGAGACTTCGAGAGGTTGATTCTGAGAGGTGGAGGGACGTGTTTGAGGAACCCGCCATCTCAAGACAACATCATCACGGTGCCCAGGTGTGGGAATGGCATTCTAGAGAGTGGAGAAGAGTGTGACTGTGGCACACCGCAGGTATGTTTTAACAGTACACAGTCAAAGCTTCAGTCTCAAAAGAATCATTTCATTTAAACTCAAATTGTACAAACTCCATTTAACTTTTTAAGTCACTATGAGTTTATGAAGTGGTCTATGTAGACACACAGGTCCTTTATGTCTGTCTTTTTAGTTTTTTTTTAGTTATCAGCACAACCATGTATACGACCATCGCATGTATTATAAGCTCAGTCATAGCTAGACAGTTAGTCAACATGAAATCCAAATGGGTGTTATTTAATTTCTGCTTGTGCATATTATTTAAAATAAGTATTTTCATAATAATCAAAAGGTAATAATTTGCTCCACTTGGACATGATGTTTCTTTTCTACTGAAGAAAAAAATAATATTAACCAATACCATCCTAGCCCATATTGCAAGATACAGTTAAATTCTGATGAATAAAATGACAGAAAATGCAGAAAATACGCCACATTACAGAAGTTAAATATGTTTTGTTTGTCATTTTATGTTTTCTTAATCTGACCTAACTAGTTGTCCTGTTTGTTCAACGGTTTGTTTATGCTCTGTGATCAATTATAACCTAAAGGAAAGACAAAGACACCATTCAATCTTATTTAGAAAAAAAAAAACATTTGCTGTATGACAGTCCAGAGGTTTTCAGTATTGCTGTACTGAATGCAATGTTGCTGGTGTGTTGCAGGAGTGCACTAATAAGTGTTGCAATGCCGCTACATGCACCCTCACTAAGGGCTCGGTCTGTGCAACAGGAAGCTGCTGTGAAAACTGTCAGGTTAGACCCCTCATCGCACACATACTCATTAATCTAGCTATTTACATGAGAAGATACTAAGCATTCTACTGTTTTAAATAATGCAAATTATAATTACTACAGAGTAAGTAAACTCAAAAATGAAAATTTGCTGAATATTTACTCGCCCTTAGGCCATCCAAGATTTAGATGACACTTTGTTTCTTCAGTGAAACAGATCTGGAGAAATTTAGCATTACATCACTTGCTCACCAGTGGATCTTCTGCGGTGAATGGGTGCCGTCAGAATGAGAGTCCAAAGAGCTGGTAAAAGCATCACAATAATGTACAAGTAATACATATACGACTCCAGTCCATTAATTAATTAATGTTTGAACTTTAAAACTTTGCTCAGCCCGAAGCAATGGTTTGTCAAGTTAAAAATATCTTGATGGATTTATTACAAAAGCATGGATTTTGCTTCACAAGACGTTAATTGATGGACTGGAGTCATGTGGATTACTTGTGGATTGTGATGTTTTTACCAACTCTCATTCTGACGGCACCCATTCACTGCAGAGGATCCACTGGTGAGCAAGTGATGTAATGCTACATTTCTCCAAATCTGTTCTGATGAAGAAACAAACTCATCTACATCTTCATTTTTTGAATTATTCATCTTTGAACTATTCCTTTAACCTAGAATGGAAAATATAAAATAAAAATTGGCCTCTGTCCATTTACTTGAACTGTAAAAAATCAATTTCTTAGTCATTTATGAATGTCTTATTGTCCAGTACAAATATCTTTACATCCTTATACAAAAGCAAAACCGGATTAATATTAATGTATATGCAAATAACGAGTTAACAAACTTTTAATGAGGTTTATTCTTAAAACAAGCGAAATAAGATCTTTGTAACACTGGTTTATTGTGAGCAGATCAATGTGGCTGGCACACCCTGCAGACCGTCCGTCAACCCTTGTGATCTGCCGGAATTCTGCGGTGGAACGTCTCCATTCTGTCCGGCAGATTTCTACATGATGGACGGCCTCCCGTGTGCCAATAATGCAGCCTTCTGCTTTGAGGGCCGTTGCCAGACATTTGACTACCAGTGCAAACAGCTTTTTGGCTCCGGTATATCCTCATTGGTCTCATTTTTATCTTTTTATACTGGGTGATCATATGTCACTTTCTGTCTGTCAGAATGCAGTCAACCTTCAAATGGCATGCTGTGTTTTAAAATTTTATACAAAGCTTGTTTTGTATTTGTATGTGTTTTGTTTGAATTCACGTGTAATTTTTTTCTCTGTATCTCTGGCTATTTAGAGGCAACTAAAGCAGATGATAAGTGCTTTAGTCATGTTAATACTCTTGGCAATGCGTTTGGGAACTGTGGATACTCTGGGTCTACACCGAAACCTTGTGAAGTGCAGTGAGTACCTCATTCCACTTTCATCAGTCAAAGCATGTATGTTTTACATTATTAAAAAATATCAGCTTGGGTGGTTGATTCAATGCTAACTGTTACAAATTAACTGTGAAAAATTCTGAAAAAAGCGTTGAGATTTTAGTTAAACTTAATTATGCTACAGCTGGCTGCATTTTATCGGTATTGTACCATAAAAGGAAACAAAGTACACATATGCATATTTTAAGTTTTCAAATAGTTCCCACAATATTTTGAATTTCATATTTTGCTTTAAATTATATACTGTATATCAGCATTTTATTGACCATAGACCAAAACACATTTTAGCTAGTTCAGAAAACATTATGTATATTTTGACGCATTATTGTTTTCAAAATTGTTATTATTTGCTTCTAATTGAAAAACATTAGTGTTTTGATGAAAGGTTTAAAGTTTATGAACTTTTTATTGTTTACAGTCATTATATAGTTCTTTTTATTAATGAATGTTGAATTGGGAAGATGTGGTTTGCAATATGTTCTTGTAAAATCGGCTCCAGCCGTGTTTTACATGTTGCTTTGTTTTTTATTCAACTTAAGAGCTGAGTGAATTTATACTTCCTTCTTTTTACAGAAATGCTATGTGTGGAAAAGTCCAGTGCGTATTCGACAGCAACCACCCACCACCAGGAGCGACGGTCAGCGTATTAAAAATTGAGGAAAACAAAATCACCTGCATGAATGCTGACTTCAGCATGGGCCCAGATGTGCCAGATCCAGCCTATGTCAAAACTGGCTCAGTCTGCGCTCCTGGAAAGGTTAGAAGGGAGAAAACAAGTCATTTGTTTTGTAGGCTTATTGTGGAGCCTTAAAGTTCATACCTTACCTGTATTAGAACAGTTCAGACATATTTTAAGCAAATAAAATTACTTTGAATGAAAGTTTTCAAAACACAGATTTGTGATTTGAAATGGACTCTTGAACCAACATGTTTATTTGAACTTTAAATATGTACCTTCTGGAGTTTGATACTCTTATTTTGTTATAATCTATATCCTTTAAACCAGGGCTGTCCAAACTCGGTCCTGGAGGGCCGGTGTCCTGCAGGGTTTAGCTCCAACTTGCCTCAACACACCTGACTGGAAGTTTCTATGCCTAGTAAGAGCTTGATTAGCTGGTTCAGGTGTGTTTAATTAGGGTTGGAGCTAAACTCTGCAGGACATCGGCCCTCCAGGACCGAGTTTGGACAGCCCTGCTTTAAACAAACAGTTGAGTCCTATATTTCTTTCTCTCAGGCGTGTTTGGACTTTACGTGTTTGAATTCTTCAGTTCTGGATCAGAGTCAGAAATGTGACACCCAGAGAAACTGCAACAGTAATGGAGTAAGTTATAAACCACATTTTTTAAATCCATGTTCCTGGTGTTAATGTGTATGATTCATCAATGCAGGTCAATCCTTATTTCTTTTTAATCCCACTTACTTCTCAACCCCTCCGAATTCTGGTCATGTAGAAACCACTTTTCACTAAATAAGCAATTCCTCAATCCTAATTGGCTTTCAATGGTGTGGTTTTCTCATAGGTGTGTAATGATAAGTTCCATTGTCATTGTAATAATGGCTGGGCTCCACCCAACTGTGACAAAACCGGCAGAGGAGGAAGTCTCGACAGCGGCCCTGCGCAGATCGGTAAGAGCACACTCATTCTGTCTCACTCTCTAAATAAACAAAACACACACCAACATATTTTAATGGTTATATTATCCCTTTACTATTTCTTCATAGATTACTCCCTGAGAGACGGACTCTTGATCTTCTTTCTTCTGGTGGTGCCAATTTTGGTGGTCTTAATAATCAGTTTGCTCTACATATTCAGAAGAGACAGTTTCAACCGTTGTGTAAAGTGCCGTCCTTCCAAACCTCAAAGGTCAATCAATCATTATGCTATTTCTTTTCATGCCATTTCAATCTTGGAATTTATGGCTTGTAGGGCTGGGTTTTGACACAAATTTCACAATTCGATTCGATTCTCATTCACAAGCTTGCGATTGGATTCGATTACCAATTCGATTCAATTCAATATAGATTACTTTGGATACATATCAGGTACAGTACATGCCAAATTTTCTCAAGGAAAAAAAATCTCTCAACTAATGCTGTAAAATATACATGAGAGTCAGTTGGTACTGCATTATAATATTTAAGGTTAAAATTGATTTGTGTTGTACAATTGCTTAAATTGCACTTAATTAAGTTTTTATAATAATTAAGTTACAATTATTCAGTGTTTTTTTTTTTTTATATAGCCTACACATTTAAATAGTGGCTGTCATAAAAATGTGGACGGATTTATTTTCTGGCTGACTATCGGGTTTATGGTCACCAAATATGCTTTCTGAGGTAAATGTGATGTTACATGAATTGTTTACAAGCTGTTATATTGACGTCTTTGCGCAGCTGAAACACTGACTGAGCGAGTACATGAGACAGGATATGCATTGTAAAGTTGTACTTTCTTTTAACTTACCTTCGGCTGTTTAGTCATGTTTATTTTGTGCTGAAACTGGTATTAATGTGGAGGAGATGATCAGTTCACGTGCACCTCGCGCTGCCGCGTCTGTTGAACTGAGGCGCTACAGCGATCTGTCACTTCACATTAAACAGCGCC